GGCTTTTATTTCTATTCGAGAAATTCTTACAAATTCATTCATCTTACAACTAAAGTAAGTGAGTGAACAAAACACAAAGAAAAACTAATGACAAAGAAAATACAAAAAGGTTACAAATACATAATACACTCTGCATTTCAAGGAAGCATATTCAAGAAAAATATAATCGAGGTGCAATATACAGTTTAAATCAAATGAATGGTAACAACATTGTTATGACAAATAGCACATGGTCGAACGATTCAGAATACAAAGAGTATTACTCACCCCGTCAATTAACAAACCCTAAATTCATTCCCGAAATACAGTGACAGTCTTCATAATTTACAGGAAATGCCATTACAGCCCTTTTTAGGTGAAATTGCACACTGGAATAAGCCAAATAAGCCAAGCCGAGTACCTTCTCAATGAAAGTTCAGGAGTCCTCTGCCACACCCAGCCCAACTGCTAACTTGCCACGCCCAGGTTATCTGGGTAGTAATTTATGCAAATGAACCATCTTCCTTTTAGTGATTCTATAGAGTTTATCCTTTTTTGATGCGTACAGCAGTTACAAATATAAACATGAAATAGTTATTTATTAAGATCATTTGATATCATTTACACCACACCAAACAAAATGGTTCTGAGACAATTCATTTGCAAACAGCAAACAGTGGAGTAGGGTAGAGTTGCGCCCTCTGTGGCTAAAACAACCATCTCCTGTAGCTGGTGCTACCATAGAAATAGTTGGCCAAAAGGGGTCAACGGAAATAAATGTTACAATGCTCACACTTGTAAGCAAAATCTCAAAATCTTCAGATTAGATATTGTTCAAATTTACTATATAATGGTGCTGAAAATTTTCTGGCTTTTGCCATTGCTCTTTTACTTACTGTTGGGATTTTTCATCTCCTAGATATGGTTTTATAAAACAACAATTATTGCATATTTTGCAGAGTTTAACCTTGATGGTTCTATAAATTTATTGTTGACTTGGTTAGTAGTGAGACTCTCTCAGATAGCACAAAACTGACACACAATTATTTAATCATTACAACTAGGGACAGCCTTCTAGATTGCAACAATTTTAGTTGCTATGGCAAATAAATTTAATGAATAGCGAGAATGTAGATCGCTATTTGGTGACCTTAAAAAAAATCGGCCTGGCGACAAAATGTTCTGTAACATAAAACAGACTTCACAGCTTGTCTTATCTAAGGATTTTACTTCCTTCTCATAATTTGTAAAACAAAATGGCAGCGCCTATTGATCGGAAGTGCACCATTTTTCAAACTTGTTAGGTACTAGTGTATAGACTTCTTCCATACTTTTTGCGAGCTACCTTCAGCCACTGTCACTGCACTTACTATTACGTATTTGTGAAACAATAAATCTTGGCGACCAACAATTTTATGCTTGGCTACTAAATTTTTCAGTTGGCCACCAACAGTTTAAAGTTGGTTGCAAATGGCCACTAGGGAAAATTTAACATTGAGGGCTGAGATTAAGATTGAATGAATGAATGAATTTATACTTCAAATTATTCTTCGTTCATGGCATAAAGCTCATTTGAATCTATCAGCATTATGAAAGTTTAATTATATTCACATGCAGTTATCTACAGTCATTAATAAAATGTCTAATAGCTGGTAATTGGTGTCGGCTGAGGTCCATTTAATGGTTAATGTGTTTTGTGACAAAGAAAAAGTGTAATTACCACTATAATGCTATAAGGGAGGCTTGGTTGATTGATTGATTTTATTACTTTAATTTATGGTTTAGTAATTTGATATATTTTTGAGCAAATAAACAAAGTTAAAATCTAGTGGTTTTACAGTATACTACAGTGTCATTGTAACAATCGTTGCGATGAATAGAATGTGTATCAATGAAATTTGTATTACAATTATCTTAGTTATTTTTTTATGGGTGATAAACTACATGTTTTTTTTTAAATTGTGTACAAGGTATTGAATATCACTGTTGTTTCCTGACTGTGCATATTAGTGCTGACTATACATATGGTAGTGCACTTTGTCATAGAAAACATATTCATATTTGGAAATACATGTATGCGACAGGACTGTGTGGCTATCTTCTTATCATTATGGCTGTTTAATGCAATCTGGACGTTAACAAACACTAGTACCTAAGGACCTCAGCAAAAAGGTTTCCCACAAAGTTGAATCTACCGGTATTAGAAATCTATTTCTCATAATTAATGGATATCGCAATACCCATCTCAAATCAGCCTGGCTTGTAATAAAGCAGTTACATATTGTATAGTATCTGAAAGTAACTCCTCCCTATTTCCGACACCTTGTTAATGTTTGCTCACTTCCCTAGTAACTACAGAACTCAAATCCAGGTTGTCAGCTGTGATTCTGTGCTGAATCTTTTTATTTTTCAAATTTACCAAAGCCTCATGATTGAGAATTTTAGTTTATGGAATTTGATTATAATGAATTCTCACTGCTGCTCTCATAGCTGGGTCTTATCTTTCACTGCAGATAACTGAATCGCTATGCTGAAGGAATTTTCTTCCCATTGCTACATAATTTTGTTTAGTTGTTTGTGATTTATTCCCTCAGGTAATTAATGGAATAATGGAACGGCCAGACAGGGATGAAGCGATAAAGACACCTGTTGGCATATTGCCCTGTGGGTCTGGTAACGCTCTCAGTGCTGCTTTACTAATGTCAAAAAGGTGAGCATATTGACAAAGGGAGAAAGAATAGAATCTGAGTTCATTAAATGCTTGCAGCTATGCAGTTGGTAAATACAGTTTTGAAAGCGATCAAAACTTTATCGTATTTATCTGGGTAAGAGCCTAAGGTCCCGAACGAAAATTGCCAAAAAATAGGGGTGGGCCTATGCCCGCACATCCCCTGCCAAAAAAACAATAATTCGTGAATTGACAACACGCAGATCAAACTGCGATAGGGAATAGAACACCAATTGAAAACATGCAACAGAAAAATGAACAATATGCAACATTAGAAGTAAAACCCATAATTTTTAATAATTTATTGTTTATAATGTGACTAATAAACCAGAAATAATAAAAATCGACAGTGAGGAATCATTTGAATTGGGATGCATGAACTCAAAATGAACTAAAATGTCAGGGTTAAACTGCGTAAAATTATTCCGGTTTTGACAAATTACAGATCAACTGTTGGCTAAAAAAAGTTGGCAGTCTTCAGTCTGACATTGCAAAATTGCTGGCCTCAGTTATTGATTCACAAGCTGCTACCAAATATTTTAAAAAGCCAAAATAACAAGATTTTAATCACTCTCCCAGGTACGGGTTGCTACAATATTGCAACATTGGTTTCATTGTTGATGACGCTAAAGCATCACTTGCTTCGCAGCTTTCCATGTGCTGTAAGATTTGCTAGAATCGTTTCTAAGAAAGCACAAATCAAATGACTGGCCCTTACAGGGCCACGACATGCCAGTATCTCAAAAAGAGAACTCCATTTCTGTTTTAATATACATTTTTGTAGACTTGCTGACTGTTATGATTCTGATGAAAAATCCTTAGTCAGAACGCGAAATTACCTATTTTGCTGTCACAGCTATTTCAAGAATTTTTATCAGAATCACAACAGACTACAAGGAAGTCAACTGTTAATACAACGAACAAAAAATAGGTTACCAATAATTACCAAACTACTTTCCATGCATACATTTCATGAAAATGGAAGCTGCATTTCAGCAGTGATAGGGTGAATGCATTCCTATGTGTGAGCATAACTAACATTATTTCTGTGTTTTGTCTTCTAGGGAACCAATGACAAATATAGTGTTACACTGTACATTTTTGATGTTGAAAGGGCGCCCTCAACCAATGGATCTTGTTGTCGTGCAGAATGCGACAACTACAATGTACTCCTTCTTGTCTGTTTGTTGGGGAATCGTTTCTGATGTTGATATAGAAAGTGAAAAGTTCAGAAGATTAGGACCACCTCGCTTCACGATTGGTGCTGCAACCAGAATTGCTAAATTGAGGTCCTATCGGGGAAAGTTGTCATTTTTGAAGGCTGAAGATTATGTTGCGCAGGAAGCTATCGATTTTCAGAATGGGACTCATGTGGATGAGTGCTGCTTTTGTGGTCTTAATGGGGCTCATGCTGGGAACTGTGGCATCAAAAGTCAAAACAGTGTTGTGCCGATAAGTGCAGAAAGAAGACATTATGACCGACATTATAGTAGCAGCAGTGATTCAAATGAGGACATCCTCCCACACATGACCAGATCGCAGTCAGAGATCCTTCCAAATGGCAGAACAATGGACCGTTCTTTGTCGTATTCTGATCATTTAATGAGAGTTGACTTGCTGGAGGATTCTTCCGATACCCTTAAAATGGGAGATGAACTTCCTTCACCCAATAGCAATCAAATTGAACTGTCAACAGATGAAATTAGGTCAACCCAAGAAGATGGAGCATCTGAAGAAAGGCATCTTCTGCCACCTCTTGACCAACCATTACCTTCAAACTGGACAACAATTGAAGATGACTTCGTAAACATCTCTGCTGTATATCAAAGCCATCTCAGTACAGATGTTCATTCTTGGCCTGATCATAAATTTGACGAAGGTGTTATTTGCTTACAGTACATTCCGGCTCCGATATCGCGCAAGAATCTAATAAGTATGTTTTTGGATTTGGAAAGTGGCCTTCATATCAAGCATTCAGGTGTAATAGTAGAGTACGTCAAAGCATTTCGAATTGAGCCAATAACCAGCGGGGAGATTATGACTGTTGATGGCGAGCTTGTCCCGTATGGACCGATACAAGGGGAAATATTACCTGGAAAAGCTAGAGTAATAGTCTAACAATCGTTATCACTGATATTGCCCAGTGCAGTCATCACTATTGATATTATCATCAATGATATTGTCCAGATTGAATACCTGCATTATTGGTATATGTAAATGTATCTCCATAAATAACTGACTTTCTGCGATAAAACTGATTTTTGCAATACATGTAATTGCTAGCTTATATATGATTTTTGCTGGTTTGCAAATCTGATCTGTATATCTGTTTTTAATTTACATAAATGAATCTGATTTTTTCAGGAGCCTTAAAATTTCAGGTCATTGCAATCTTTTTCACCCAAAATAGTCATAACATTCTTTAGCTGATTTAATCTGACTATGTGAGTTAGTATTCTATAAATACCCTAAAAAATGCAATGAAATTACAACAAAATGAAATTTAATTAGTTTATAATTTAAATTTCAAAGTATATGCAAATTAAGAAACAAAGATGAGGATTTTAATAGAGGAGAAATTATATTTTTTTGCCTTGATTGGTTAAATTGTTACAATTTATTGAAAGTTGTGTATGTATATAATGTTAAATACCTCTTGTAAATACTAATGATATACAGAATGTATCTTTTTCTTGCTGCCGATATTACTTACAAGTTTTTAATCTTGTACCAAGTAATTTGCACATTTTTTAATTCTGGGAATTCCTGAATTTAGTAAAATTTTGCAATTTTAAATGTGAATGAGAGCTGGGTTTAAACTGTGACCTTGATATTGGGAGTCTATATAACCCCAACTCTATGGGAGATTTGTTTGAGATAGTGATACAAATGAAGACATTTGATTAGTACATATTTGACATTGTAGAACCTAATTGTGTATTCTGTATTTATGTGGGTAACAGGGTTACACATTTTTTGTTGTTGAAAGTGTGAATTGTATGATGGCTCGTCTGTTAGGACCCAGTCAGGCTACTTTTAAATGCCGCTAAAATTATGACCCTTTGGTGAGATTGCTTGATACACTATAACCTTGTTATAATGAATTTCCTGATATAATGAACACATAGCATGTCTCTCACTCATAACAAACCCAATGCATTATGTGCTTCAATATAGTGAACATTATAACAAACTGATTGTACTGGTATGCCCCACCCCCAAATAATTCGTTGTAACTAGGTTACAGTGTACGGTAATATTAGACTTGTGTGAAGTTTAGATTTAAAAAAATGTATATATAAATCTAATAATTCCCATTTGCAGCTAATTGTTTGTTACTTAATAAAGCAAGTTATGGTTGTTTTTGATTGTTGTATTTACAGGAAAAATTTTTGTAACAGTGACGTTTAAACTGTATGGTTTAGGGGTTTGTGGTATATTCTGGTGGAATATGCAATTCTGATATATTTTTATGCTCTTCTTTTTTGTTGCTCTTTTAAATTTACACTTTGCAATTATTCTTATAGCTGTGGTCTTGCGACTATTTTGTTACATACTTCATGTCTAAATGTACGGGAATTATTTGAAAAATTTTTGGATTACTGCGGGGGGGGGGGGATCTTTGGAAATCTGTGCGTGTCCCCTCCTTATTAATGGCATTATCAGTCTTCTTGGATATATTTATTGATATGTTTCAATTTCATCATGAATAGAGCATACGGTACTACTGTAAAATCTGTATTAGAAACCGCGGCTTCTATTAAAATGGTACAATGCAACAGAGGGAATGCGGCTTCTATTAGAGCATCTACACATATGAGAAATGATGAATTTTTGGTTCTCAATTATTCAAAAAGAATGGGTGCGACTTCTATTAGGGATGCGGCTTCTACCGGTAATACAGATTTTACGGTAGTAATGCTTATCTACAGCACAGTTACTAGAAGAAGTAGAAGTAACTATGTCTACTGTAAGTTACTAAGTTTCATTTATACTCTCACATATAGTTCATTCCTGTCTTGTAGTTTCACAGAAAAGAAATTTGTCAAATGTTATATCTTGCATGTTTTTGTTTTTTTCTCTCTGACCAAATATTGTGCAATTTGCTGTGAGATTCTACTCTACCAAAATATCTGCCCCAATTCTGATAACTTTCTGCAACTGATAATTTTTTTGTGATGTATGATGTGTATGCATATATTGTTTAAATAGAAATATGGCTTATATTTTTTTGACTTAATACATTACAGGTTGGTGGATTTAATTAATGATCTTAAAACTTATATTAGTATATTTATTTTAAATGCAGATATTTGTGTGTATTAAGTTTTTTTATATGTAATTATAAAACCAAGTCTTTGCAAGAAACCATATTGAAGGAGTTCTGTTGAAAGAAAGCATCTTCACTTGGATAAAAGTGTACCAGTACAATTCCAACTCAGTATTATTTACTCGGAATATATGTATTCAATTTAATTGCTGTTGTACTTCTACCATAGAATATCGTTTTGTAATTTGTTAGTTGAAAAATTGTATAGGTATTTTATTGCGTCTCCAGTATGAACTGGTCACTTTGAGGTACAGTATTCAACAATGGATTCAGTTCTGTATAGTACAGATTACATATACTGTAAAATACTTTATTTTAGCTGGATTTAATTTTCACTGAATTTACTTTTTTTGGTGTTATTTTCACTGGTTTTTTGACAAGTTTAATGTAGAATATAGGGTATATTTGCTAGATTTTATTTTCACTGAATCATTCCTTCAGCGAAAATATCGAAAAAAAATTACAAGCGAAAATAAAGTATTCCACAGTATTCATATACTGTAAAACATATCTTTTTATGTTATTTTTGCTTATTTTAATAGCTAATCCTCAATTTTGCTAATTTGTAGTATTTTCGCCTTCTCACAATGAGATTGTTGACAGAAAATTAAAATTCTGTTAAATTTGCTATAATGGGATGCAGCTATGTGTTTTTCAGTACATGTAGAGGATAGTGCTGTTGTAACAGCTGTTGATACTTCACTAAAATAACCACAGCTCGTTGAGTTGGAAAGCTATATAAATTGACTAGCTCGGTAGTACTAGCTTTATTAATATTAACTGATATATGGTTTATGTATAAGTCAACCCAGTCTCTGTAGTAGCAGCTTTATAGTCAATCTACCATCATATAGTGAACTGAAGTGTGTGTTATTATGTTAGCAATGTACAAGGAGCTCCTTGATTTGATCCGTGTTGTAGTGAAAAAAGTGTAATTACTTGGTACTTGTGTTTAGGGGTGCTTATTTTATCTCTGCAAGACTAAATCTAGTGAGCTGAAATGAAATACCAAGGCAATTGACTTCTACCTTCTCTTTTCTTCTTATTTTTGTGTATGTTTTTTTCTGCATATTTGACAATCATTCCAGCATCTTTCAACAGAGATCAGTTTTCTGATAAACGTTTGTTTGAATTTCACAATGCAATTTTTGAGTGCCATCTGATGAGTGCCATCTGATAATGAGTGCATTTTCTCTATGGCCATCGATGTCCAAATGGTTTATACAATAATGTTTAAAAATTCCATATTAAGTGATGTTTACAAGTGTACAATTTTATTCACGTGTTAGTGTTGATTCCAGTGCCAGTACAGGTGCAGGAACTTTCTGGATTCTATAATAATGTTGCACTAACCGATTTGACAGTTTTGTACATTTTGATGAAAATCGGTGTGTGTGTGTGTGTGTGTGTATGCGTTGTTGAAGGCTGTATAATAGTGTTCTACTTCAAAAAAAAAGTGTTTGCAGTTATTTTATATTTGAAGGGTTAAAATAAAGGGGCATTTTAATATCAGATCATTCAAGAAGCTCATTTACTTAATTCAATAGAAATTAAATTAGAATACAAAAGAGACAATTCACTACTGTGAATCCCATGAATCTTTGTTGCAATCCCAGGGATTGTCAGCTTTCTCTTTAAAATCAAGGTAGCCCATAGAAACAATATAGTGAATTGGAGCAGTGCTTAAGGTTGAATATTGTTTAACTTGACTTTCTTGCCTTATAATGCAATATTTTAAATAACAACTTAATGATCTTACGAGGCTTTATTCCACCTCATTATTCATTAACAGTACTCTTTTTTTTTTTTTTTTTTTTCTGTATTTCCTAAAAATAAAAATTTGGAAGTTCATTTGTTTGTCCTGGTTTTTATTTTTGTTATTTACTGTACGTCGTCTAAGTTCCACAAGGGCATTAGTCGAGACGGAATTTCATGAAAGGCACCAACTTGCTGTCTTAAGAACCAGAAATGTCTGTTTTGTGAAACTAATAAAAACTGTTTAAGTAACGTATGGGTAGGTCCCCAAATAAGTCCAGAATATAATATGTAAAAAAAAGTGTTAATAAGGTGTGTTGTATTATTTCTGCATATTAAATTATTAAAGCATATTTTAAAACATGTTCAAATAAATAAAAAAAATGTTAACTGTATTATGACATCTTTTACCTCGTACCTGGGCCGCCGTCTGTGCCGTTAGTGAAGCAATATGTTGCAATGGTGCATGCCGGTTCAAACACCAATATGACAAGTTTGTTTACGAACACCTAAAGATTTCAATGAGTTAGTAGATTAACTATTATTTGCTACCATTTCTAACGTACATTAGTAACAAGACACATTCCCTGTACGCTTTCTTTCTATAGTCAGATCAAACTACATTTCAGGGCCATGGATAAATTAAACATGCACAACAAATGTACACAAACATACATAGCAATGTTCACGTTACAGGATCCTGGCATGTTTCAACATTTTTTTAATCTTTTATGTTTGGAGGAGAATTGCAGGAATTTCTTTCACGTTAGTTGGGACCAATATCAGGGCCGAAATCATGCCCTCACTCGTTGATTTGATCCAAACATGGCAGACGATATGCACATGATGATAATAACAATTACTTTAAATCATATCCATTTGCTGTTATGGTATTTATTTTGAGTCATCGTGTACATGAATGGCAAAGAAGGATGCAAAGAATAGTTATTTTTTCATGTTGATGTAGTAGCATTGCAAGAAGAAACCGGTTGCATATAATAAATAGCACATAAATACGTGTCACCGACAACTTTCTGCATTCTTTTTCATTACAACAGCATTCGACCGTATCTAGCTGCACTTCCCTCAATGCCAAGTAACACTAGTATGTCGAAATGTTCTCTTAAGTTCACCAAGGGCACATGACGATTCAGCCCGACTCTAAACATGTGCCAAGATCTGTAACATGAACACCACTACAAAAATCAACTGGGATTTTTGTGCATGGTATCTGAAATTACCTTTGACACTATCTCACTCCCAAATGGAGAAATTACATTTGCTTATAGACAATAGTCTGTGGTTTGTTGTGTGCATGTTTTAATTATCAACTACAATATTTTGTCTAAGATTTGTGTCTGACTTACACATGCCTCAAAGAGGATGGCAAAAAATGCATATAGTCACACAATACTCATCTATGTTTATTTTTAATTACAAAAAATATTACAATAATAAATTAGAAATGTCCAGCTAAAGTACAAAAATATGTTAGATTTCTTTTTTTACAAATTGAAATCAGAGATTAGAAAATTATTATTATAATACTGCTACACCCTCTGTACAAATGATCCAGGGAGGGAGTTTGTCAAAGCTGGACTTTTCAAGGATTCCAAGAAATATGTCTCTTCCTCCAAAAAGGCTTTGTCCTGAAAAATAAAATGAGAAAATAAAGTGAGTAACTGAAAGAGCACCATAGTCATCTTCCATCAGAACTCATAAGCACATTAAGTTACATTTGAATTCATACTGTTCCCTATATATTATTGGAAGCCCTTGGGATAACATATATTTACTGATCAAATATGGGTATTTGTGCCAAAGCACAGGAGACATTTGTCCAATGTTCATACTCTATGTGTAAAGTAAACTGTCTTGCTGTTTCGGTATCAACTGTGGGTACTAGTGATGCGTGGTATCGTTGGAAAGGTATTTGTACGTTTTTCAGAAATGTGTGCTGCCCTGGTCATATCAATAGCTTGATCAAAATTTGGAGGGGTCAAAGTTCACCTATTTAGTGGTTATGCCCATATATGTAACTACCGGTATTTACATTTATATGAGGATAATTATACGACGCGATCAACACACAATTTAGAATAAACTACCGGTACAAGATGAATGAAATTTTATTTCACCAGAAACAGTGTATACATTGAGTAGTAAATTATAAATAAATACTTAAAATTATAATAGTAGTAATTACAATGATAGTAATGTAGTATATATTTTTGTTTCTGGTGGGGTCACAGAAATAGCTTATTCAAGCTAAGCTAATCTAGTCTGTGACCAATGATCCAAGATATATAATAAAGTAATGATAAGCTAAGATGCACAAGACATAGTTAAAGCATGTAATGAATACTATAATACATAAAGCAATGCAGAAACACTCACACGCTCTGATAAAATAAAACAACGTAACATACAAATAATACTGATAGAAGATACCTTTTTAAGTGGCATTTGAAAGACTGTCTATTTTGTATACTTTTTATGTGATCGGGAAGTGAGTTCCAGTGTTTAGTGGAAGCGTATTTGAGAGTATGTTGATTTAATGTGACATTGACCTTGGGAGTATAATAGTTGTCGCCTGCAGCATATCTTGTAGGGGAATTATGGGGTAGTGTGTCTAGATATTTATCAATACTATGGGCATATTGTTTCTTCTTTAAGTCAAAAACAGACAGGTGTGTAATATACAGAGCTTATGAATATTTAAAATATCAAGAGATTTGAAGAGAGGAGTGGTATTGGAACGAAAGTCAGAAAATGAGATTAGGCGGACAATTTTCTTTTGTAGAAGCGTGATTGGATTTAATAGCGTTGAATAAGTATTCCCCAAATCTCTATACAGTAAATTATGTGTGGCAATATCAACGAGTTATATAGCAAGAGAAGTATATATTTAGGAACATAGTGTCGAATTTGAGAAATGATTCCAACTTTGGGGGCAATTATTTTCCTGACTTTGTCAATGTGGGATTTCCAATTGATATGATGATCAATTGAAATTCCCAAATAGTTAGTTGATAGAACCCCCTCAATTGGAGATCCCTGGATAAGCAGACTTCCCTCGGTGTTAACCATTCGTTGTGCTGTTTTAATAATCATATAATTTGTTTTCTGTACATTTATTGTGAGTTTGTTAGCACTGCACCATTCGCAGACTCTTTGAAAGTCATTGCTGATATTGATGTGGCTGTCTTTGAGGAATTTAAATAGATTTGCATCATATGTGAAGAGCCGAAAACTAAAGGCGTTAGTTGAATTTGCAATGTCATTAATATAGACTAGGAATAGAATAGATAATTCAGTCAAAGTACAGGGCCACCTATATTTTGAATTATTTTAAGGAAAGATTTACATATTTGATAGATATCCATTAAATTTCAAATATTAAATCCAAAATGGCTTAAAATTAAGATTGGATCATGTGAATGTTAATTTATGAAGCAGTTTGTAAATATATGTTGTCATAGAAATGATGAACTCAACAGTGTCAACAGTCAACTTGTTTAATTGCTATACACTTTGATCAATGATTTCTCTACATGTTCTCTGTGTAACATTTTGTCATATAATATCACACAAAGTGATTGTATATCTAAGACTACAAAGTAATATCAGTATTATTTGAGGTGTACGTACATTTAACAAATAAAAAACAGAATGCCACAATAGACTTGTGCTGGATATCTCATTTTATTTCTTAGATATACATGTAAGGTTATTTACAATCTCCCTCAATTAAACTGTAGGTATATAAAAATATTAGGAAAAGTAGGGAAACTATTTGTCAGATTGCACAGTGTTTTGCCAAATTTAGTCATGAATGTGTGCTTGCCATTGCCTGTATCAATTTCACACTTTGATGAATACCGGTAATCATTCCGTTGAAATCTAATTTCAAGTCTTTTTATAAAGATCAGTAAGATAGTTTTGAAATAAAGATGTTTGCATACAAGCTGAAATCAAGTCAAAACATATTAAGTGGTGCTGTTCTTATTCAGAGGGTATAAATTATTTTATTCTAAAATGTTTAAGGTCTCTAGTAGAATTGTTATGCCCATAAATTGAAATATACAAGTGGTTTTAACCAATAAAATCACAATTTCCATTGTCGAGTGACCATTGACGCTCTTCAAATAGGGTATTTTCAAAAATACACACCAAGAGCTTTCGAAAGATATCCTACATGATTACTATCTTTGGTTGATACCAGAATCGCAATCAGCAGTCCATTGCAAACTTGCAATCACCGATATGCTGGTCCCTGCGAACCCGTCTCTTCACTCGCAAGTATCCGATATTGCTACATTTACATTGCAACAGTCAACAAGATGCTTCATTGGACCACAAAAAAGCCCAAATGTTTTAACTATGTATTGAATATGTGTGAAAGTGAAGGCATGTTACATTATGACTATCACAGATACTGTATTCACAGGCTATCATGATCAGAAGCCTCCTGCCAATAGCAGAAAAAGTAGAATTTTGGTGACTAAGTTTTCTGCATCAAGATGTCAATGAATTGCATGCCCATATAACAAAATCAATCACAAATACAGTGTGAGAATTGCTTTCATTGATGCTGATATAGCCTAAATTCCAAGATCTCCATGACCTCTACAATAAACACAGGGAAAAGAGAATTAATAAATGCAGTCACGGTCAGATATTGACCTTAAATTTGATTAGTTAATTCACAGTCCCTCTATCATAGATATGTGGTAATTTAAAATATCATTGTAAATTTCCCAGCATGCAGCATTTAAACTGACCAATGAACAGAATATTTAATTTTTCCTGTCTGTGATAAAACTGGTCAACAATACGTGACAGTGTTATACATAACATTTGAATGACTAATAACATATACTAGTCATCGTTCTGACGTATTTATTGTAAAGGCTAGTGTTAAGGAGTTGCTTTCTCTATCCAAATTTTGCCCACAAGAAAGAAAGAAAGATAAATGACCACCTCAGTTCATAACTTTACAATATTCTCAAAACTACTTCAAGGCCATGTATGTAAATGTGTCGAAATGGGCGTAGTGCGAGTGGTTAGTGCTAGTAGCACTAATCCGAAAAAGTACTAGATCTAGTGCTAAAATGGCACTAGATCTAGCGCTAAAATGGCACTAGATCTAGTGCTAAAATGTGCACAGTGCGAGTGGCATTGTTATCGCATTGTCAACGACGTCGAATAATAGGAGGGGCATCAACAACCACTTTCATATGCAAACTGCAAACAGTATAAAACATTGGCAATATGCGTGAAGATGTCCATAATAATACTTTCTTTATATAATACGGATTCTGCCGTAAATTCGCCATC